TATTAGTTCAATATTAAAATAGAAATAGCTTTCTTGTTTTAATTTTTTGTCCTTATTTTTTTAGGTGAAACACTCTCAAAAAATAAATGATGTACCATTACATCCATGGATTATTTCGAAAAAGTCAGGAAATATAGTTTGTGCACATTGCAATTGCATGGCTGGTCTCGGAGAAAGCTGTTCACATGTTGGTGCGGTACTATTTCATATTGAGTGTGCAGTTAAAATTAGAAGTTCAAAAACATGCACTGATAAAAAAAGCTTATTGGTTACTACCAAGCTCCAAAAAGGTAGAATTCAAGCCTGTTTCAGATATTGATTTTACATTAACCAAATCTTAGCAATGCAATTTAAATAATAAAGTTCAAGGCATAATCTATGACAAAAAAATAGCACATAGAAAAAGTGTTTCTATTCTAACAAAAGAGGAAACTGATAAATTTTGTTTTAGACCTTAGTCAATGTGGAACAAAACCAGCTATTTTTTCAATTATTCCTGGGTTTACCAAACCTTATGAACCGTCAATAATAACAGAAAAATATCCTGAATCATTGTCAGATCTTTACCAGTAAAATATATTTTTAAACTTTGAACAACTCCTAGCTGCTTGTAAAAAAAAATAAATTATAATAACGATTGAGCAAAGTAAAAATGTTGAGAGTACAACGCGACTTCAAGCAAAAAGTAAAAACTGGTTTTACTATAGGGCAGGTCGTATAACTGCTTCAAAATTTGGGGGTGTATGTTGCGCAAACATCACCCAACCACCAATCAGTTTGATTATGCAAATATGTTACCCCATTCAAGCACATTTTTGCACAGCAGCAACAAAATTGGGGAAATGACCATGAAAAAAAAACATTGACTTTGTATTCCACAACCATGGAAAAGAAACACTCTAAATTTTCAATAAAATATTGTGGGTTTTTATTTCAGTTCAACAACCCTTCCTTGGTGCATCACCAGATGCAGTTATAAATTGTTATTGTTGTGGAAATGGTTGTCTGGAGATAAAATTTCAATATAGTGCGAGAGATAAATACATTAGTGAATTATTAGATTTTAAAAGTTGTTGTCTGGAAAACAAAGCTGGTTATATATCTCTCAAAAAATCACATAAATATTACTATCTAGTTCAGTGTCAGTTATATGCTTCATCAAGTAACTACTGTGATTTTTTTATTTGGACATCAAAAGATTCGTATTGCAAAAGATTATTTCCGAATTTGGAATTTATGGACAGGAATATCATAAAATCTAAACAATTTTTTGAAGAATGTATTTTACCTGAACTAATTGACAAATTTTACAGCCAAAAAAATCAATTAATTAAAGAAATATCAGATAAAAATAAATTTATATAATAGAACACAGCTACTTTAAAAAAGAAAACAAAGTTTTTAATGATCACAATTATTGTATAAAATTGAAATAAAAATGTAAACTTTTAATAAAAATATTTGATACTTTGATAATATTTATTTTTGTTTATAAGATCTAGTTTCAATTAATTATTCAGTCCTGTTAAATTTTAGAAAACTATTCCACAGGAATAATTAAATAACATATATTTATTAAAGAAAAACAAACAATAACAATTTTGTGTATTGTGCATAATCTAGAATCTTTAGTATATAAGTAATCTAATAGCATAATACTTTGCAGAACTTTATATTTGTTATGTAACAATCCAATAACTCTCTTAACGTGTACTCAAACAGAGACAGTTTTCCGGGTTGTTTCTACATCTGAACAAGTTAATTATAACTTTCCTTTTGTAAATCCTGAAATCTATAGCTCCCCACAATAAAAGCCAACACTCTCAGCAATGTTAAAACCTCTATCAGCTAAAATAACATCTCCAAATTTTTGTGCCACATATTTAAGGATGGAACCCAATCAGGATCATTCTGTGAGAAAAGAGAAGCAGGTTTTTCTAAATAAAAAAATAAAAATGTTAAACAGTTAATGATATTAAACTTTCAAAGTAATAAAAATATTTCAAAGGTAAAAAGGCTTATTCTACCTGTAATAAAATGATCACTGCAAATTCAAATGTGGAAGACAGGATAGATACCAACTCTGTTTATGGCATTTATCCATTTTTCTCTACGTTCTTCTGATAAAATCTTACCATCATCGCCTTGATTGTGGTAAACAAAAAAAACATTTACCCTTTTCACGATTTGAACGATTTGGGCATCCAAATACAGCACAAAAGTTGACCATATTATAATTTTATTTTAGTAGGCATTATTTGTACGCGCGTACAAATAAGAAAAAAAATGTAATTTGTACGCGCGTACAAATAAGAAAAAATTATTTGTACGCACGTAGTTTAACGCACGTACAAATACGTTGCTGTTGAAATAATAATACGGGACATGTGACATTTTGTGACACAAACCCCCTTTTATATGTGACGCGATATTTTTTTAAACAAAAGTTAACTCCAAGATTGAAGGCTAAAAGATAACAAATTCCGCTTTGATGAGAGTTTGAATTTTAAAAAATTGTTTCGTTCGACTACAGTCTTTTCGAGTGGATAACGTGTGCCGTCAACGTTAGCCATTGAGTAATTGTGCATCAACTTTTTACAAGAGCGGCCAACATGCATTACTTTGCATTTGGGGCCATTCATAAAGTACGTACGCAGTAAAACCACTGATTTAGGACCCCCCTCCCCCCTTGTACGCACTTGTATGCTTTCAACGACCTCCCCCCTCCTTCTGCGTACGTACGCATTTTTTATTACAAGTTTAGGCTCTCCTCCCCTTCCTTCCCCAACGCATTAATTTTTCAAAACATTAAACACAAAAAAACATTTTGTTAATTTCTCTGTGCTTAATTAAAAACCGGAAAGTTATTTGTTAATAACTTTCCAGTTTTTGTTAAAGAAAGAAAAATATTCTAAAAAAGAATTCTTGTTGCGAGTATTTATATTTCATATTTCCTCAAATGGTGACTTAAATAAATCAAATATGTTATCAAATACAGGCATGAACTCTGCTTCCACACTTTTATAATCAATCTCTTCACTGATATCTTCACTTTTATTAATAGATTCACTGTCACTTACACTATCCTCACTCTCCATTTCAACCGTGTTTTTTTTTTGTGTATGTGCTTATTTATTGCAGTTGTCGCAAATTCCGTTTGAGAGCTTTTCCTTTAACGATGGGCAATACAGATCAAATGGTATAATTTTGTATTTTAATCCTTCTATAGGTATATCATGTAGCAAAAGTCGATGTGTCAGTGGTGCAAACGTTGATTGTTTTGATACGTTTTTAAAATATTGAGACGGTTCCATTGCTTTGTAACCATTCTCGCAGTATTCGTAGATTGCCGGAAATGGAATGAAACGTTGGGGGAAGTTTTTCAGCCAGTTTGTTTCAAACGGTGTGCAACATGACTCCTCTTGGCATTTTACGATTTGTAGGCTGTATCGCGATTGCTGACAATGTTTGTCTACCCAAACAGGATCTGGAATTGGTGGTTCATATGCTTTCCCAACTGGTACAGCCTGGCAATGAACAGGATACCCGTCAATGACGGTTTTCTCCCAAACTTGGGATAAAACGTCAGCCGCTTTTTGAAAGTTCTCTACCTCCAATTCATAGTCGATTGTTTTTCCAGAAGAATCAAAGTGATTGCCAAAAAAATCATGAGGAAGGGCTATTCCAGCCAATTCACGAGAAAGAGGTGCCATTCTTCGTTCTACGGGGTTAAAGGCTGAAAGGCCAGCTGCATTCACACCATGAAGAAGGGCATCTAAATTAAGCAAGCGAAAGAGGTCAACAGCAGTTGCTAAGGTTTTAGGGAAACGTGGTGCTTCATCCTGAGCTCCATCAGTCTCCATTAACATAATTAGTCTACGTTTAACCAACTCGGTTTTAAAAAGCTCTCTAACATCAAAAGCATGTGTAAAAGCATTTGATGTATCGTGTTTCGCACTTCTTATGCGTATGAAAGTGTCCCCACTGTATGATACATTTCCAGTATTGTTAACTTCGCATACGCCATACACTAATGGGATCAATTTGTTCTGTGAGCTAACGACAAAATCGTGATCTATGAGTTTGACCTTGTATTCCATATGCATCAGCAACGGCTTGCTGCAGCAATACCCAATGGGACCCTGGCTTTATCATCGTTGGAAATGAAAAGCACAACTTTTGGTCCAAACAATTTGCAAACTTCGAACATGTCGTCAATGAATGATTTGGCAAACATTCTATCGTCATTTTTTTTTCGCATTGAGTTTTCTGGACGTAACAGCTTTACTGGAACTGTGCTGACATGTTTTTTTCCTTCAGAAGTGTTTCCACGTCGTGGTAAAAGACGAAGGTACAAACCACTCCTACTCAAGGTAAAGCCTATCTTTGTCAACTCTTCCTGAAGGTCATTTAAAGTGGAGACGCTACGGAGACATTCTGTTCTTCGACGTTCGTCAGCTGCTGATAAATTTTGCACAATTTTTATAATTGTTGATAAAAGCTCTGGTTGGTCAACTTCGAGACGCGGTCGTCCAGTATGGTTTCGACTAAACTGTTTCAAAGCACTTGATGCTTCAGGGATGTTCTGACACACAGTTTCGATGCTCTCTTTAAGTTTTTGTCTTCGTTTTCTTTGACGATCTGATTCACAAATCAATCTGAAAACGAAATATCAGTAAAGCTTTGATTCCGTTATACAAACTTCTATACTTAAGGCTTCGCAACTTTTGGCTAATGTTGCAAAAGAAAAAGTACGCAAATTCTTATTTCAAATAAGAAAGTATTATTTACAATAAGATTATGAAAGTTTCTGTCTTTGAAAATGTTTGGTTTTTATAGCCAAGACGCTTTTCTATACGCATAAATAAACTCTGTATTATTTAACATATATCTCTTGATATTTACTAGAAACCTGACAGTTAAGCATTCTAAAATGAAATATCAAATAAAGAAATACATAACTAAATTATCTTACCTGTCCAATTTTGTTTTTTCTTTTCTTATGGTTTCTTTCACAGTGTTTATTTGTTCCTTTGTTACGGTAGATAAACCAGAATCACGTACGACTATCAAGGATGCACGTTGTGATTCAAGATCTGAGATTTTCTTTCGACTCCTAACTTGTGCCGGATTTTCTCTTTCTTTTTTGTTGTCTGTTAAATCTAAATTAAAAAATGCCAAAAAATAAGCTACAAAAAATAAGTATTATAAATTCTTGACAATTACTACTAATCAATTTATTTTGGATATAGAAAAATAGGTCTAGTGGTCAACATTATAAATTTCTGTGACTGCTCTAAGGTCGTACGATGTAGTTTGATTTACAATACGGTTAAACTCAGTAGGCCGGGTGAATAAAAAAGAGCAATTGCTTTTACTCAGTAATTGTTCAGTTTTACGTGAATAAAAAATTGAGCAATTATCCTCAAATTTCTATTTACGTAAAGTTGAGCGTTGTTGGAGTAAATTGTTCAGCTTTACGTGAATAAAAATTTGAGCAATCTTGGTCAAATTTTTATTCACGCAAAGCTGAACAGTTACTGAGAAAAAGCAATTGCTCTTTTTTATTCACCCGGCCTAATGTATAGAAAATCACAAGAGAGAAAAAGTTTTTAAAATATTACAGAAATTAGCTTACTAATTTCAATCCTTGCAGGCTCTGTCGTAGTTGCATTTAGGAAACTTCGTGTTTCATTTGACGAAGACGGCGCTGGATGGATATCTTTTTTCTTTTTGCTAGGTGGTGAAATGGTATTTCCCTAGAATGACATAAGTGATACTTTCGACTTTGTTACTTTCTCTTTTAACTCATTTATTTTTTTTTCATACAAGGATTCATTGTTTTTTACTATTTTCCACAACTCTTGTGCTTGCTGATACTGCTTTTGTTTTTTAAGTGTTGAATATGCTTTTTTATATAACTCAAGGAATTGAAGGTATTTTTTCTCGTTCCCGCGCGGCATCTTGGTCATAATAAATAATAAGTTTTTTTTCCAATGAGGCGTATTGAGTTTTCGAATAGAATCATAAAAGTTTTTTTTGTTTTAGTTTACTCAAGATAATTGCCGTTACATTGCATCATAAAAAGTGTTGGTTTCCATCAGCATTTTAAGTAACTATTTTTTACAATTATCACAATGATTGTCATATGCATTGTCACATGTATGTTCATTTCGCTTCGCCTGTCCTTAGCAATCTTAATGTATGTTAATATTAACTTTAATGATAAAAAAAATAATAATATTACCTTTTTTTATTTTATTGTTTTTTAAAAACAAAATATTAACCTTTTAAGAGAAATGGGAAAAACCAGGTTCGTAATTAAAAAAAGAATTCAGAAGAAGTTTTCTTTGATTACAGTTTTGATACTTTTCATTAGGGTTCATTATCGAAATTGCAATTTTCGAAAATTTTCGATTAAAACGTTATCGAAATACTTCTTTTTTTTCGAAATCTAAAAAAACTTTCGATAATAATCGAACTAGCCATATTAATTTCGAAAAAAAAAAGTAATTTAGAAATGTGAAATTAATTTCGAAATAAAAAGGTGGATTACGAAATAGGAAATTAATTTCGAAAGGAAATAAAGAATTTCGAAATGTGAAATTAATTTCGAAAATAAAAAGGTGGATTTCGAAATAGGAAATTTAATTCGAAAGGAAAAAAAGAATTTCGAAATGTGAAATTAATTTCGAAAAAAAAATGTATTTCGAAAAGTGATATTAATTTCGAAAGAAAAAAAAGAGTTTTGAAAAGTCAAATTAACTTCGAAAAAAAAAAGTGTATTTTGAAAAGTCAAATTAATTTCGAAAGAAAAAAAAGAGTTTCGAAGTGTGCAATTAATTTCGAGAAAAAACCAATAGATATTTGGTAAGCTAAATTAATTTCGAACTTATTAAAAGAAATATTAAAAGAAATATTGAAATTTTTTTCTTATAGAAAACGTTTAGATTCTCTTTCGAATTATTCTAAGGAGATGTTTTTAGAATTGCTCTTAGAAGAATTTTATTTTTAATAATGTTTTTTTAAAAACTTTTCCGTATAAATGGTCCACGGTATTGAATTTGAAATGAATTGAGTTTTAAATAAGATCTTGGAATTACAAAATTATCAGATGGGTATTAATGAGATATTTCTGCAAAGTAAGAGTGAAATATATAAGGAGATAACGCATGTTTTGATTTAAACGTAAAAAGCATAACTTGGTATATATTAAGTTTATAAATAAAAAAACTATGAATAGGGGAAGTCAGGGTACAGTGGATTGAGGGGCACAGTGAATAAGAAGCATTTTTTCAAAGATTATGATTTTGTTCATCACGATGATGTAATAAGTTTATGTGCGCATATATCACCCATCTTTATTTATAGGTGTTACCACATAATTTTTGACTCTCGGTTTTAGGTAGGTAACTTATGTTTTTAGCTAACTAAAGTAAATGCTCTTACCATCTTTATGTTTGTTGTGGAGATCATGGTTAAAATCATTTTATAAGTTAAAGTTTTATATTCGGAATACTGATCTTTATGGTTCATTTTAGTAGTTTTGCTTTTCCTTTAATAAAACTCATGCCCCAAGAAATTAAACTTGAACCTTATTTTTTATAGTGGGGCACAATGAATCGGGGTACCGTGAAACGGTTAATTCACTGTGATAAAAATGTTTATAAAAATTAAAAATTCACTTTAAAAAATTTCTTGTGTTGTTGGTTAAATAAGTTTTATTAAATAGATTTTTTTTTGTGATTTTAGATGTTTGAATAAGTTTTGTTATCAATAAAATTTATTCTTTATTTTGTCAATCAGAAAAAATTTAAATTATTTAATATTAGTTACCAAAAGTGCACCAAAATTATAGTGTACAATGTATTTACACCCTCATCCTCAAAATTATTTGGCTACGCCCCCATTAACTACCACTAAATTGCAAATGAGTTAATTGTTTCACTGTACTCCAGTACTGGGGTACAGTGAATCACTTAACAAAACTCACTTTAAACCTTTCTGTGAGCTGTTAGATAATATATATTTAGATTTTAGTTATTTCTTATCATGAAGGACATATTCTCAATCCTTTAGCCTTGACAAACATAAAATATATATTTTAACTTTCACTCAAATTAAAAAAAGAAAGAAATTCGACCCACTTTGCTCCACTCTCCCTAAATGAAAAATATATAATTTTCAAAGACTCCGTATTAAGAAAATTATATATTTTTTATGCTAAATAAAGTTAAGGTTTAACTATATATAGCATTGAAGTATTTTTGGATATTTTAATTTCAATAGATTTAATATGATATTTCCATGATATATTTTCATCTATAATCACTCCTAGAAAGTTAAAAAAAGACTCTCTTCTAATCACTTTTTTGTTCATAAAGATTTTCCTCAAGTTAGGGAAAGATAAAACAATCCAATTTATAATTAGTTGTTTGGACAACAAGATTTCTTAAAAAAGGGCAATATCATAACAGTAAATGCTACTGCTACAAGCTATGAAATTAGTCCTCTTTGGTTACAAATTCTAAACCATTCAATTACGGGGAAAGATTATTTAAATTTACGAATCATTTACACACACACCTTCCTAAATGCATTTTTTGTGCATTTAGTCGGCAAAAATAACCCTTTTAAAGAAGTCGGCAAATGTAGACCTTTTAGACAGGTCAGTCGTCGAACTTCAAAAAACAAGGACCTAATTTTTTACTCAACAAAAATTTTAATGACACCCCACCACGTCACACCTACTTGCATCTGCCCTGATGACAGCTCAATCATTGGAGATTGGTGTTTTTTCCAGAATTGAAAAGAATGTAGCAGAAAACATATTGTCATTAATTAAGCTGTTTGTAAAAAAGTTCATCAGATAAAAAAAAAAGAATACAAATGCTTTAAATTACTAAGATTTATAAAATACACTTTTACTAAATAATTTTTTTTATTTTAATAAAGAAATGTTTTTGATTACTTGTTTTCTTTAATAAAAACTAACTGCTGTTCCGTAGCTCCGTATCTATTAAACCGGTTGAACTAAATAAGCATTCTGATGGCACGGATGTCGCTGTAACTGAAAATATTATCCGTGCAATTTGTGTCAAAACCGGGAACAATTTTTGATTAGCTTGGAAAAATTCAATGGCACTATTTTCGTAGCAATGAAAGTATTGCAGACTGTAATCATTTATTTCTTTTTCAAGTTTATCATTGCTCTCAATTAAATTACAACAAGATTTATCTGTTACTAATTCAATTAAGTTGATTGACTTTCGTCTTTTGTTGTTAACTAAAGTAATATTATTTGCAATAGGTGACGTTGACAATTGCTGAAATGTTTTTATGGTATTGTCAGCTGAGCTGTTTGACGAGTTCAAAGTGTTATTTAAACAATTTGTTTCAATTGTTTTATCGATTTCTTCGGTTTCTTTTAGATGCATTTCATAAAATGTTTTTATAAACATTTTTGCCTTTGAAATGCATTCATATCTATAGATATCATTTTTGATAAACTCGAATTTACGAAATTTGAAATCAAGAAAAGTAGCTGCTAAAAAAATCATTAGCAAAAATGTATTTAAAACGTCCTTTTAGAGACCTTAATAATTCCTTTTGAAAAGTCTTAACTAGTTCTGTAAAAATAGGTTGCGATTCAAGTATTTCATTTAGTAGAGAATACAGTGTTGGAAACAGGAATGTTACTGTAACATATTTCTTTCCGCTAAAAAGTTTTGTTAGCTCTTTAATTGGGTGTAACAAATCACACAAATCCTCCAGCACCTTAAATTCAGTAGCAGTGGGAAGATAGTCTTTTATATTTTGGAATTCGATGCTTATCATATCCAATGCAGTTTTATTTGTTAATATAGATTCAATCATATCGAATTGGCTATTCCAGCGAATAGCTATATCCTGTACTAACTTTATTTTAGTTTCATAACGAAGTGTTTCTTGAACTTCTTTTAACTTTTTTTGTAACATCTCTGAACGCTTAAATGAACCAACAATGTGCCTGCAGGATGAAATTACCTTGGCGATTTCTAATTTGCCTTCGTTAATTTTTTCAATTTCTTTAACTTCACTTTCTGTAATTTCTCTATTAATTAGTTTTCCATTACCGTCGTAATCTTTTACTTGGTAACGCTTTGACCCATTTTTAAATTTTTTTACTTTTATATCTCGTGCGTTTAGAAGATCATTAACCACGAGATTCAAACGATGACCAGCACACGGAACCTTAAGAAATTTATTTACTGCAGAGAAAATATTTGCACCTGAGTCAGTAACTAGTGCAAAAATCTTATTATTGATTGACCATTCACTGAAGATTTCGTTTAACGTATTAAATAAATATTCAGCTGTTTTCATTTCAGACATAAACTTAAGATCCAGGTTTCGGTCAACTAGAGTCATATTTTTGTCAATAAAATGACAAGTCACACCGAGGTAGCTGTTTTTACCTAATGATGACCAACTATCACAAGTAATTGTAATGAAACGACATCCCTTCAATTCTAGCATTAAAATTGATTTAAGATTGTCCGTAATTGATGGTATTAATTTCTTGCTCACCGTATTTATGCAAGGCATTTTGTAGCTTTTGTTTAACTCACTAACTAAGTTTACAAAGTCTGGATGACGTACTATCGAAATCGGCTGATCGGTACCAACAATAAAATTCACCAATAACCTGTTTAATTTTTTATGACCAGTCTCTTCAAAACCATTCTCATTACCGCTCTCAATATCGGATATATCGTCATCGTTGAGTAAAGTTGTTGATTTTTTAGATATTTTAGAATTAATGCAATGATCAATTAATAAATGGGATTGCATTGAACTGGTCGAACTGTTGTAAGGTAAAATCTTATAACATATGCTGCATTTTGTTTGATTCTTTTGGTCCATTTCAAAATATGTCCAAACGAAGCTTCGTTTTCTTATTCCTTTCTTAATAACGGATTTATTTGTTTTTGACATTGTTTATTCAAACTAAAAAGCGAGTAGTTTTTTTACTCGTTCGTATGTAACAAATATTAACAAATTAGTAACTTATGATAAAATAAATTTGTACCACATGTTACTTCACTTACGTTTCCGAGATATTAATGAGATTGTTATAACTTTAATATAAAATTACACCATTTTTAGAATTATGTAACACAAAAATCGCAAAGGCATAAGTCGATTTGAAACCGTTGCAAATCTCTAAATAACCACTAGAAAGTAATTAGCCGTTTACATTGCAACAATGATTTCATGTCATGCGTTTAAGACCTCAAGGGAATTGCCGTTGAGGAATAATAATGACTTATGTGCGTGCTGTAAACTATGCGTTCTTAGAAGGGACTG